AATGAACGAGTGATTATATATACGGTCAAGAAATTCGAGAAAAAATTGGTTGCCCATGGTTTGTAATCAGTGAGTTACTTTATATTTACTGTTATTTCATGAACATTGCACCAGATGCTATCAAAATTGTGATAATAAGAAATATTAAATTTTACTTTGACCATTATTTTCTAGTGCAATAAAATCTAAAGCATGAATTTGAGAAAGGTAAGTTAATCATTTATTAATAAGGTTTAATTATCAAATATACTTTTATTATTATTGAAGAGGTTGTAGTCATAAATTTCACCTAAATTCAAATATTTATTTATGAAATATACTTTTAATAAAGACTATTTTTTTTTTTTGAGTAATTCAAGTCATTACAAGGGAAAGTAGGGGAGGGGGGACTCGAACCCTAGACCTTTTACCCTATTGGTAAGGCTAGGTACCAACTCTCCTAATGAGGGTTGGTTTAATAATAAAGACTATAAAAAGGGCCAAAGTTGCTAGTCATATATATAATAGTGTAAATTACAACCACCCATGATGTATGGTCAAATTACGAAAATCCCCTTTTGTTTGGGTAATTACAACCACCCCTCAACTATAAATCTTCTTACATGTCCACCCTTGCGGTTTCAAATTTAGTGGAATCTTCTATATTATATGGAATATTCTCAAGTTTGTACCCGTTTTATCCCATTCGAGCTCCACATTTTGAAGCTAGATGATCATAAAATGTGTTTTTTGGCCTGTATATATCAGATTGTGGTGCATCAGAAACTGTATATTTTGCACAAAACGAGTACAAACTAGAGAACACTCCACGGAATCTAGAAAATTATGCTGAATTTGACACCATAAGGGTGGAGATATAAGAAAATTCATAGTTGAGGGGGTAGATGCAATTATCCAAACAAGATGGTTTTTTTCGTAATTTGACCATACCTTAGGAGTGTGGTTGTAATTTACCCGATATAAAAAGAGAAGAAGAGTTAGAAACTTAAATTTAAATTTATTAAAGTAGCCAAAATCTCAAATATAGTCAATAATTTTGTGAAGGGTACACTATTCTTTATATGTCACTATTATTTTTTCTTTATTTCTTTTTTCCCTTTTTGTGAACTGCTATCTCCGACTAATAATCTTACACGTTGACCGTCAAACGATGAACGTCAAGTACTGCTTCCTCGTTCGGTACAACGTTAATTTCTTGCACACTCGAAACCGCGTCTCCGTTTATAAGTTTAGCTTCATATTCACCATGGAAAAGAGAAGCCTCAAAGAAGCCATTAGAATCGGTTGTGCCACGTAGACCATCGGCATGAGTCAACTCGTTTATAAAACTGTCGACGACGTTTCCGGTTTCTAAGTTTCGGAAATTATTGTCCGTTAAACACATGGCGAAACAACCCTGTGGGCTCCACCCTGTCCACATCATAATGCCTTGCACTGCGTAATGTGAGTGAATCTCCCTTAGTACCTGGTTCAAATAATTTGCCTGCCCAAGTATAACACAACATATTTATTAGAAAATAACTTTTTTATTAGGGAAAATTACGGCCAACCCCTTGAGGTATGGCCAAATTACAAAAAAACCCATCTTGTTTGGATAATTAAATCCACCCCTCCTTTTAAATATTTTTACATAAAATTTATGTAGTTCGGTTATTTACCGAACCAAATCGTATATTCAGTTCATTAAACAGTATGAAATGTAGGCGTACCAAAATTTCGGTTCGATTTTTAGCGGTTTAACATCCCTAAATTTATCTCGTTTTTAGCGGTTTAACATCCCTAAATTTATCTCTGGAGGGGCATTTTCATAAGATAATACATAGTTGAGGGATGGATGTAATTACCTAAAATATGAGGGGTGTTTTCGTAATTTGACAATAACTTAAGGGTGGCCGTAATTTACCATTATTATATATAACTACACATAACCAAAGGTGAACATTAGAACCAATTGCAAAAATTGGTCTCTCGTGTTTCAATAGTTTAAGTTTTTTGATCATTTTCGTCAGTTTACCGTTAGTTGGTAAGGTAAGACAGTCATGGGCACACGCTTTATAAGAATTTACCGTTAGTTCAATTTTACCTGGTTGGGCCCGGCTTTAACATCGAGCTCCGTCACCCAAAGCGGCAATTTAGCAGAAGCAAGCATATCAATGGCGGATCTCGTATACGGCAAATTCACATTATTAAAATGTCCCTGCGCGCCAATACCCAAAGGCCCAGCATACCTCCCCCGCCTCATCTCATCAATCTTCTGCAAATACTTCGACGGCGACGCAACACCATCGCTACTCTCCTCAATGGTGTGGAACTCGTTCAGAAACGGCGTCGTCCTGCTCCCGTCAATCTTGTTTGCATACTTGTAATAAACGGTGGAAATGTTCGGGCCGAGCCTGCTCTCGAAGAAGTTCCAGTGCATATTCTCGTTCACTACATCCCAATGAATGAACCGCCCCTTGTATTTGGTCATCACTGAGATCAGCCTCTTCTGCGCGGCTGCAGCCAAGTCGTTCGACGAAAGTCCCGGCACCCAACGTGGCTGGTATTTCGGGGAGTCCCATAAGACGTTGTGCCCGCGGATCGTGACTCCGTGCGATTTCGCTAGATTGATCAGCGCGTCGGGGACGGAGTAGTCGACGACGCCTCTGTTGTGTTCGGTCTCCGCCCTGTGATGTATAGATTTTTTTTAGCAACCAGTACAGGAAGTTAGATGCTGCTACTACACATGGTTATTTACACAAGGTGGATTTGAATCGTAGATTTTGATTAGATAATACTACCCACAGAACACACATACACATGGGTGTGTGTGATTATGTGTAGATCTATGGTTCAAATCCACTCGGTGTAAATAATCAGGTGCAACATCTATAGATACATATTGTTAGATCTATAGATTTTTCGGGGAAAATTACACTTTTTACCCCCTCAAATTTGTAATGATTTCACATTTGGTCCCTCGTGTTCATAAAAAACACATTTGGTTCCTCGTGTTTCAATAATTTATCACTTGATTCCGTTAGTACTAACGGAAAAATTAACGAAAATGACTAAAAATGTTAATTTTTGAAACATGAGAGACCAAATGTATATTTTTTTTTGAACATGAGGACCAAATGTGGAATTAGTGCAAACTTGAGTGGTGAAAACTGTAGTTTCCCCAATTGTTTTTTTAAAACAATCAGCAACTAGTACCCTGTAAGCTAAAAAACTTGAATCATAAGGGGGTTTTAGTAATAAAATTGTATAGGGTGTTTTTTTTAGGAATTTAGATATGATACAAGGGTACTAATTAATTGCAAGGAATTCTCATTAATTTATTTACCATTTGAGTTCGTTTTCGAAAACAGTGTATTTGAATCTGGAGAAGAACCAGTTTTGGTACGCGCCGTTTTGGAGGATGTTTTGGTTGATGGCCGTGCCAAAGGGGAAATTGGCGCTGTTCTGTTTGATTGAAACGGTGGCGTTTGGTATGGGTTGGCCGTGCTGATCCACCGCTTGAAATTTCACCTTTGATTTGCGGAACTGCATGTACAAAATCGAAAAAATAAAATATATATATATATATATATATATTTAAATTTAGAGAAATAAAGAATAATAAAATTAACTTTTAGAAATTAATTTCACCTTCTCAACGCTTTGATCTTGGTGGGATTTCCACTCTTCATTGGTAAATGGCTGCAATGAAATGCTATCTGCCCAAATATCAACATTTGTGTTGTTGCTCTGCAAACAAAGATGAGTTTAATTATTTTAAAGTGTATTAATTCTCTATTAGTTAATAAACTAATTAGTTGGTTTATATTGGATTTAATATTGAAACTATAGCAAATGACGGCCACCCCTCTCTTGGTAAGTTTAAATTAAGAAAAAATCTTTCATGTTTGGATAATTACAACATCCCCTTAACTATGCATTTGTCTTACAAAAAAACCCCTCATTCAGTAGGTAAGTTTTACACTGTAAAGGTAAACGTGTAAGACAATATATAGAAAGGTAGTTGTAATTACCCAAATATGATGGTTTTTTCGTAATATGAGCATACTTCAGAGAGTGGCCGTAATTTGCCCATGGAACTATTAAAATTCGGTATTAAATGTGATTTTTTTTCCTACTAATTTATATCCCTAACAATAATCATAATCTAATTTGCATCATTTTTGGTAAGAAATCGACTCTAATATATTTTTTTTGGTATTAAATGTATTTTTTCTTAGAAATTCAAAAAAAAAAAAAAAAAAAAAAAATCAAACCTCAAAATAGAGTTCAGCAGGGCCAGAAACATTGACCACTAGTCCACCTTTGACCATTGACCAACAACCCTTATGGGCAGTTATCCAGCCAGCATATACATTGCTTGTATTTGTCTTGAAAATTGCTGCTATGTATGCATCTTCATTGCTTACTTGCAGCCAAGCTACATAAATTTTGCAAAAAATAAATTATGAATTTTGTATATTTATTGAATAATTTATATATATAAATATATACGTACGTACCGGAGAAAGTGTAGAGTTTTTCTTTCTCTAAGTTAAACTTCTGCGAGAAACTATGAAACGGTTGTTTTCTTGCGGAAGCAACAATGTACTTGTTGCCATCGTCGGATTCTCTGTGCTCCACCGTCGAATCTTCGAATCTCGTCCATCCTTTCAATCCTTCGTTTAGTTCGGGATTCACAATCACTCCTCCCTCGTATTGAGGCTTTAACGGTTTTGCTAAACACTGAAAATATATAAATACGTACAAGAAAATTAATTGAAAATAGTAAATTAAAAAAACCATGCATGCATAGGAAATTAAAGATTGGTTTTAATAATTATTGGGACTTGCCTCTTTTGTGTATGAGTAATCATAAGGCACTGCATAAACTTGAGAACCTGTATATATATAAATATATCACCAAATTAATTCAATTCAATTTATTGAATTAAAGTTATATTATTATTTGGAATTAAAAAAAAAAAGATGAAGATGAACTAGTACCGATGACGAGGCATATAATCGAAAAGACGATGAAACAAGAATTTAAGATCTTAGCCATTGTTTTTGTTTTCAATAATATTGCCATTCATTGAGTTATATTTATAGAGATGATATGAAAGAATTTGATTGTATAATAATTTGATTTTTCTTTTTCTTTTTCCCCATTTTTGGTCATTGCATTGCATTATCTTTACAAAATAAGATTGTAATAATATTATATACACACACACACATATTGGAATGTGATAGAGTGTTTTTTGAATTATACTTAATTAA